GTATTTTTATGGTGAGTCCAAGATACTTGGTTATCTGATCTGAACATAATACAGGATGGCCTAAAAGTTACTGTGCAGTGATAAATTTGTAATGGCATTCAAGTTATACGTATGATATTCCATGTGAGTCTTGTAAGTTGTCCATTTGGTAGCTGTTGTATGTATAATATATAAGTTATAGGTCTCATATGCAATACCTTACATATAACTTTAATGCCTACAAATTTCTCACTGCACAGTAACTTTTCAGACACCATGTGTATAGTTTATTCAAAATTTTATGAAATATGCTTCTCTGAAACACCACTCTTTCTATTTATAATTAAAGCATTCCACTCTTACTTTTGTAAATGCCTTTATTTTAGGACATTATATTATTCTAAAGATATATTTGATTATAATTGTTCTTAACACTAGGTTTATCTGTATAATTTTCCAATATTTAATTGCATCATATCACATCACTTGTTTACAACTGTACAGTTGTTTGATATTGTGCATTAAACAAGTTGATCTAATTGAAGAAAGTGAAAGCTTTAGTGAAAATATATAAGTTAGGTGCTATGTAATTTTTCTATCTATTATTAAAGAAATTTGTAATAATATATTGCAGAGAGTTATTAAGTTGAATATATTAGTAGTTGCACATATCATATTACTTGTATAAATGCATTTAAATGATGTGGCTGTTATAAAAGAAAATGTAGATCTATTTACATTGTATATTTATGTAAAACAAGTTTGTTTAAAATGCTGTAAAATATGTAAAAAAACGACAAAAAATTGTTTTTAATGGAATAGAATTAAAAACAATCTGGTAATATCTCCATTACTTCAGTAACAAATTGTGAATAAAAGTTTTAGTACAGATATTGAGTTTCACACTTCTTAATCATATATGTCAAATGCTTTTTCCTTTCCTTAATAATCATTTTTAAAATGAATATTTATATCTGAAATTGTAATTTTTAATATAATGTGTGTAAAATTATATCATGAATATAATATATTATTGTTTAGTAAGAATATAGACATAACTATAATTGAAAATTCTTTAGAAGAATGTATATATATATATATATTTTTTACAGTTAGTCAAAAAATAATTTGTTTGAACAGAATTGGTTAAAACACTTTTTCCAGTACAGCTGTCCCTTGATAATCCAATAGGTATGGGACCAAAGGGGTGTCGGATTACCAAAAGTGATTACATATATGGCATTGTTTTGCTAGCAGTAGCCTACAATATTCCCTACTTTAACTATTCAAACAGAACTGCTCATGAAAAACACACAAAATGTGTGTCATCGTGTAAGAATTGGGAGATTCACGTCGCGACATGCTTCTATGCAAGCAGACACGTAACGGGGACGGGTACCTTGACGGGAAGTGTGTTGGACTACTGAGCATGTCGGATTACAAAACGTCAGACTATCAAGGGACAGCTGTATAATATTTTCAAGAAAATTGATATTTTTAGTTGATTAATCAAACATTTGTTTATCTTCTCTTTTTATTTTAAGATCAGTCCTAAATAATAAACCTGTTAGTCATCAGTATGAATAGTTAAGCAGTATTTAAACCTTTTTATTCCATTCTCCTAAAAATATACTTCATATATTTTGTCTTTCTTCAGTTCATAAGCTTTCAGTGCTCATTTCCATTTTTCCAATTGTGTTTTCAATGGGTCCATATAGCAGATTAATAACATCTGTTTAGATATCACTATGGCACTTAGCTACTTCCCTCATTAATTCATCCTAGATAATTGTGAATAAGGTTGTGCTTAAGGCAGATGTTTACTTGCACAAAACTCGTGGAACTCTTCACAGACACTTTGAACAAAGATTAAAACTTTTTCATATATGTCTTGGATCAATGCTTTGTATTTTTCAAAATATGTAGCAATGATCTTCCTGACATGAATTCTAATTATGCTAAAGACTCACTGTGTGCTCTCTATATTCAATCCATTATTCTTTTGATGTCTTTATTTTCTAAATTATCACACGTTAAGATGACTATGCAGAAGAGACCAAATAAGGAATGAGAAGACATTTCTGATATGATTAAAATCTGCAAGATTTTGGAACATCAATAGCAAAATAGTTTGAGCACTTCCGGGGACATCTAAATAATAATTTGTTGCATAAGATAAAGTAAGGATAGTAGAAAGGAGTAATCAGATGGACCAAAGGAAAGGTAGAAGGAAGTTTTGAAAAATATGGAAGCATTCTGAGTGACTGAAACAATGGCACAATATAAAAAAGTTTAGAGAATCAGTATTGAGAAGACTAACTACTATTAAGTTCTTGATTTTCACGAAAGAAAAAATTTAAGTTTCTTTTAAACTTTCTCTTAATTTCACTGTATATATACATAAATATAGTATTTTTGAGAAATGTTATTTACAGGTTTTGTTATATTCTATTCTATTGTTAAATTTTTAAAGTTTTGCTTGCAAACTTACAATAAATATTAAAATTACACAACTGAATATGGTGTACAATAAATTACATTGTTATTGGTTTATTTATATGGCATAAACAAAAGAGCTAGGGTTTAGTGCACATACTCAAGGCATGTTTTGTTTGCTTAACTTATTCATTAAAAGTTGTATACAGGCATTATTCATTTAACTTATTTATCTATTGATTATTATAATAAAAAAATATAATTTTACTATATCAAAAAATTCAAAAGTAATGTGAAGTTAAAGATAATTGTGTAAGTAAGGAATATGAGTATCAAAACATATATTTAAATACTGTTAAAGTTTCTCTAAATTTATAAAAATGTATTTTAAGAAAAATTTGATCTATTTAAATTCAGTCATATTTCAACATTCCATTTCAAAGTTATCAAAATGCAACAAGATAATCATTACAAATAATGTTTTTTTTTTTTGAAAATATTATCTTGCCGATCATCATATTATTGCTGAATGATTTTTACTTTGTTGAGAAACATTTTCAGATGTATGAACAAATCTTTTCTGAAAGAACAATTTATTGTTAATAATAGTATAATTTAAATACAAGAAAAAGCTTAATTGAAAATGCATTTTTATACAAAATATTAAAATTTTACACATAAAAATCAACAAAAAAATTATTAAATATTTTCTTTTTCAAAAAAGAAATATTTGATTTTTTTTTTCTTCACTGAATTTTCTGCTTGTCAAATTTGAAAATTTTTAAAAAATTGAAGTATTCTAATTGCTTTCTTCTTCCTGTATTGAAATTATCTTAGTCAGAGATGTAATTATTATTATTATTTTTTAAATCTCAAAAAGTAGTTAGTCTGGTATCTTTCAAAAGTTCTTGTTTTCTTAGTGAATATTTATTTTTTAAACAAAATCTTTGAGTTTAAAATTATGTGGATTTCTGAATTATTTTTATCTGTAATCTAATATGAGTTGAAAATATTAACAGAAAAGATAATTGATCAAACACAACAGTTTTGTGAGCTTCTGCTTTTTTCTTTGTGAATGAAGATAATAGAAAATGATCATATAAATTAAGATTCTCAAATACTTTTTAAATACAGATTCAAGTAGTCTGTGTTTTGTTATTATGTACTAAATAAAAATTGTATTTTTATGGTGAGTCCAAGATACTTGGTTATCTGATCTGAACATAATACAGGATGGCCTAAAAGTTACTGTGCAGTGATAAATTTGTAATGGCATTCAAGTTATACGTATGATATTCCATGTGAGTCTTGTAAGTTGTCCATTTGGTAGCTGTTGTATGTATAATATATAAGTTATAGGTCTCATATGCAATACCTTACATATAACTTTAATGCCTACAAATTTCTCACTGCACAGTAACTTTTCAGACACCATGTGTATAGTTTATTCAAAATTTTATGAAATATGCTTCTCTGAAACACCACTCTTTCTATTTATAATTAAAGCATTCCACTCTTACTTTTGTAAATGCCTTTATTTTAGGACATTATATTATTCTAAAGATATATTTGATTATAATTGTTCTTAACACTAGGTTTATCTGTATAATTTTCCAATATTTAATTGCATCATATCACATCACTTGTTTACAACTGTACAGTTGTTTGATATTGTGCATTAAACAAGTTGATCTAATTGAAGAAAGTGAAAGCTTTAGTGAAAATATATAAGTTAGGTGCTATGTAATTTTTCTATCTATTATTAAAGAAATTTGTAATAATATATTGCAGAGAGTTATTAAGTTGAATATATTAGTAGTTGCACATATCATATTACTTGTATAAATGCATTTAAATGATGTGGCTGTTATAAAAGAAAATGTAGATCTATTTACATTGTATATTTATGTAAAACAAGTTTGTTTAAAATGCTGTAAAATATGTAAAAAAACGACAAAAAATTGTTTTTAATGGAATAGAATTAAAAACAATCTGGTAATATCTCCATTACTTCAGTAACAAATTGTGAATAAAAGTTTTAGTACAGATATTGAGTTTCACACTTCTTAATCATATATGTCAAATGCTTTTTCCTTTCCTTAATAATCATTTTTAAAATGAATNTAATTATTTCTTTAATGCTTTTTGATTAATAAAAACATTACAGTTACTTTTTTATTATTACATTAAATTTTAAAATAAATGATTAAAAGAAGATTTCACTGTAAATATACACGTAGAGAGTTTACAGGCACACGCATATAACATAGATATGCAATATTTATACGCTTATTATTCAATATATTAGCTAAGTAACAAGTTTATATGTATTTAACTCGTTCCCGAGTCGTACAGGTACTTTTATATGAATATTCAATTTACATATTTGAATATTTTAGCTTTTGTAACTTTATTTTTGATGTATTCTAAGAATAAGAAAGAAAATTTATCTAATAAACTGTTATTTTCTGACTCAATATATTAGCTAAGTAACAAGTTTATATGTATTTAACTCGTTCCCGAGTCGTACAGGTACTTTTATATGAATATAAAATTTACATATTTGAATATTTTTTGTTTATTAGAGTAAGCATTCTTCCAACAGATGTTGGAAGTCGTATTGGTGTAATGTATGTAATTCGTGGAGATTATGCTGAAATGCATTTTATTGTCAATGGAGAAGACCAAGGAGCTTATTCTACTGACATCCCATATCATGATGCCCCACTTTTTGCTATTGTTGATGTTTATGGAACAACTAAACAAGTTAGAATTGTACAGTTATATGGAGGTTAGTAATTTTTTAAAATATTAAAAGATTATTAACAGTTTTACAGTCTTTTTTTATGTTTGATATCTTGACTTTTAGCTAAATCTGTGGAATTAAGTTAAGCAAGATTTCTACCATGTAAATTAAATGTTTGATAATTAAATATTATATGTTTAAGTGCTACTTTCCGTTGTTGTTAATTTTTAATTTATGCTATAAAGATCACTTGGGAAGAAGAGTGAAATTTGTCCTGAGTGCATTTCATTTTCCATTCTGTAATTTTGGATAGCATGAAAAATGCTACTGAAAAATGATTTTTCAGATAAGGTTATTTTGAATAGCTTTTATTTTTAAATTTGATCAAGAAAATGTAAAATATAAAATAACTGCTTGAAAGTGCTGATTAGAGTTCATGTATATAGCAGCTTTAGCTTTTATTATATTGTCTGCTTGTTCAGTTAGCATTGTAATATAAAATAAACTGAAATTTTAAGTAAAAGTACTTAATTATCCAATAAAATTGATGAGCTTAAACTAAAATTGACATTTCTATTCTTGATTAAGAAATTTTTATCAATGTTACAAATTAAAAAAATTAATAACAATAGAAATATTGTGAGATAGCCAGGGACGTAATCAGAGGTACGCCACTTATGGGCACGCGATTGTGAGATCGGTTCTCTTACTTTTTATAGGAGGGCTGTTATAAACGATCCTAATCGCGAGATTCGGATCTACGTCAGGATTCCTGTGACACCAGTTAATCAATCTTATCGATCCGCGGACAAACACGCGTGTGAGATCCGATTCGGAATCAAATTAAGAGACATTTTAATTAAAAACGAAATAATAAATTTAATAAAACAAAGAAAATAAACCCATACAAAATATTAATGAACGAGAGATATAACTAATATAAATAAGATACCAATCGAGAGATATATGTACTCATATTATACCCAATGCGCGATCGAGAGAGAGAGCTCACAAAATCGTTAGAAACATACAACCTGTTCTAGTTGTCGTTTGTCTTCTTCTCTGTAGGTAAGGGACACTTTGTAGATAAAGTTCATTTACTTCTTTCCATGGGAGATCGATATGTGCACAAAATCAAAGTATAATTTCTAAGTGCTAACTCGGAAATTCTTCTATGTGACTCGTCTAAGGGCGTTGGTCATCAGGAGGAAAATGTGTGGAGTTTGGACACTTCCAACTCTGTTGCTGAACTCTCCGAATTCGGACAAATTTCCCCTATATCTTAGGATTTACGACTAATCATCTGCTAGAAACTCTTTCATGTGAACGGATGAAAGGGGAATCAAAGAGGGGTAGATAGTTCCCATCTGAGCGAGATTTTTAACGGATAAGGGAAAAACAGAGGATGTACGGACTTCCCTCAAAGGAAGTAACATCTGTTATCTGCCTTTTCCCACATTAAACATTATTTTTCTCACCAAAAATGAAGTAATATTTGGTGACAATATTTAACATAATTAATAAATTTAGACCCAGGGCCTTACAGGTCTCACAATATTCTTCCAAGTAGTCTTTTTTTTTTTTTTTTTGCTTTTAGATTATTATTCCTGCATCATTCATTGGTTGTCTCATGACTGTGGCACAAACAGTGGCTGATCTGTTATTACTTGCATAACTTTTAATGACTCATCTTTGTAAAAGGTGTCATATCAGCATAAATCTGATTAGAAGAGACTACAGTCAACAGGTTAATGAGAAACAATTTATTTATGCATTCTATGTGCACATGGTAGCCACTATGTTCCAATTATCTTGAGAGAGGTGCAATCAGACATAGGTATCTTCAAAACATCTGGGCTGATTCCATTGTTGCTGATGTATGTGATTTCAGTGGTTTGACAGCTTCTGATTGAGGGCAGTTCTCTTGTTCTTGTCTTTGAGAATGAAGTACAATAACCAGAGTGATGGGTCTCACTAACAAGGAAGAGTTAGATCAGAACATAGTTTATCTGGAGGCATTTACCTGGTAGACTTCAGATTCTCGTCCAGCATTTTTACATTGGTTTGTCTTATTATTTGGATAGCCAATCCATTTTTACCCAATCCCATATGATTTCATGTCATTCAGATGGCAGCTAGTCAGGCTTCACATGGGAATATACCCATTTGTTGCTGTCTAGTTGGTAGTTGTGACTAAAGCAACACTTTCTAGTTTTAACAAACCTCTTTCTCATGGTAGCAATGGAAGTCACTGCTGAGATCTCAGCAATTTTATATATACAGTAGAGCGTCGATTTTCCGAAAGTCAATCATCCGAAAGAATTCCAGTCGGCAAATTTAAATTTTTGCCGGTGCTGTGGCACTTCAATCTTTGGCTATGTCTTGGGCTACTCAAATATTTTACGTTTTTGATACTAAATTAACATCTGAAGTATAATTTTTTAATATTTTTATATTTTTCAATATATTTATTTTGTTTGTACAAAATAAAAAAATAATTTTTAACGATACAATAGTCTTTGTTAGGCTTAACATCGACGAAAATTCAACGTGAAGCGACACGCAACGGATAAAAATTTCGACATCGGATACGTTAAACTATTTTTTCGTACGTAAATCAGTTATCTGGACAATCCCAGTCCCCAATTGATTCAGAAAATCGACGCTCTACTGTATATATATAAAATTTTAACCTTAAATTGCAGCATATTCTTTATATTTATTTAACATAGATGATTATAATGATTAAAATTGTATTCATTTTCAAATAAATTTCAAAATACTGAAAACACTAATGATAAGCTATAATTAAATTTATTTGCAAAATTTTCCAAATAATTAAAATGAATGATATATCAACATTTTTCTATTCTCTGATATTTAAAGTGTATTAGTGTTAGTAGAAAATTCAATAAATTTGGATTTTTTTGTTTTCCCATAGTAAAAATATTTAATTAACATTATAAAACAAAATATAAATTTTTTTATGTATTGTAAATAATATTATTATTTAAAATATTTTTGTATATATTTTTTACTAATGGAATTTTTTATTCTCTTGTGTTTTTTTTTTAGTTGCATCTTTGCAAAGTGCTTGTCGAGATACTATTCTTCAGCATGTATCATCAGCCGATGTATTCTGTTTACCATTACCAAGGAAACTAAAAGACTATCTTCGCTATCAATCATGACATTTTTCCATCTGTGATTTATAAAATACTAAATCATTTTGAAGAATCAACTACTTTATCAAATTATTGTCATTATCAATCCTTACAGGAAAAAACAAGAAGTGTATAATAATTCATTATTTATTGATATTTAATTATTAAAGAGCCTATTGCTTCATAGTCTGAAACAAAAATATAAATGAATTTATTTTTTATTTTGTAATTTTTAAAAATATTTAAATTTTTTTTGTTACAAGTTTATTTTAAAAATTATACATAGTAATAAAATAAGTAGATAAATTACTAAATGATATTATAAGAATTATTTTAAAACTTCAAATTTTATTATATAAGTAAATATAGTTTTGGTATTGAAAAATACAGTATACAAAACAGATAAAGATCTGATTTTAATTATATGAATTTTTAGTCAATATATTAAAAAAAATTAATATACAAATTATTTTTTGAAGTCAGAAACTTGATACATTTTAGTTAAATACCTTTTTAATACATTTTTTGTTCATTTCATTGTGAAAAGAATTAATTCACTAACAACTCATGAGTTACAAATTACAAAACAGTTTTCTGTTTGATTCCTTTTATATCACATGTACCTTAATTGCACACATTGCAATGATTAATTTTGTGCAATATCTTATAAGAATATGCTGGAATTGTTAATATATAAATATTTATACATTTACAAAAACATAATATATGTTGCATTAGATTTATGAAATTTTGTAATATTTAACCAGAAATGATTATAAGAAAAACTTTCTTTAGGCTTGTAAGTGCCTATAAAGTTGAAGATTCTTATGTAATATCAAATAGTAAATTTTGGTAAATATTATATATGCATTTATATTTGCTGAATTTTAATTAAATGCAAATTTTCATCTAATTTCTTAAAATACAGTATTAGAAATTTACAAAATGTTTTTGTATACAGAAATAAAAATTATTTTTTAATTTTTGTATTAATGCAAATTTGATAATCACAATTGCCAGATTCTTTAATGGTGTTTAATAATTGATCCTTGTAAGAATAAAAAATGATGATTTGGTTCATCATTTTTTATTTCTTCTGAATTTTGGATAGAATTTCATGGATCATTTTTTGTGCTTCCAATTTTTCATTGTATTAATCTCTTCATTTTATTGAAATTAGTAATAGCTCATGAAGGATATTAAAGTTAATCTTTGATACAATATTTACATTCAAGATACTAAATGTTGAATTGCATTCATAATATATATATATAACATCAAAAGGTTTATCAAATATAGAAATCCACTGAAATTTTAATATCAAAATCATTATCATTATTCATTTAACTTATTTATCTATTGATTATTATAATAAAAAAATATAATTTTACTATATCAAAAAATTCAAAAGTAATGTGAAGTTAAAGATAATTGTGTAAGTAAGGAATATGAGTATCAAAACATATATTTAAATACTGTTAAAGTTTCTCTAAATTTATAAAAATGTATTTTAAGAAAAATTTGATCTATTTAAATTCAGTCATATTTCAACATTCCATTTCAAAGTTATCAAAATGCAACAAGATAATCATTACAAATAATGTTTTTTTTTTTTGAAAATATTATCTTGCCGATCATCATATTATTGCTGAATGATTTTTACTTTGTTGAGAAACATTTTCAGATGTATGAACAAATCTTTTCTGAAAGAACAATTTATTGTTAATAATAGTATAATTTAAATACAAGAAAAAGCTTAATTGAAAATGCATTTTTATACAAAATATTAAAATTTTACACATAAAAATCAACAAAAAAATTATTAAATATTTTCTTTTTCAAAAAAGAAATATTTGATTTTTTTTTTCTTCACTGAATTTTCTGCTTGTCAAATTTGAAAATTTTTAAAAAATTGAAGTATTCTAATTGCTTTCTTCTTCCTGTATTGAAATTATCTTAGTCAGAGATGTAATTATTATTATTATTTTTTAAATCTCAAAAAGTAGTTAGTCTGGTATCTTTCAAAAGTTCTTGTTTTCTTAGTGAATATTTATTTTTTAAACAAAATCTTTGAGTTTAAAATTATGTGGATTTCTGAATTATTTTTATCTGTAATCTAATATGAGTTGAAAATATTAACAGAAAAGATAATTGATCAAACACAACAGTTTTGTGAGCTTCTGCTTTTTTCTTTGTGAATGAAGATAATAGAAAATGATCATATAAATTAAGATTCTCAAATACTTTTTAAATACAGATTCAAGTAGTCTGTGTTTTGTTATTATGTACTAAATAAAAATTGTATTTTTATGGTGAGTCCAAGATACTTGGTTATCTGATCTGAACATAATACAGGATGGCCTAAAAGTTACTGTGCAGTGATAAATTTGTAATGGCATTCAAGTTATACGTATGATATTCCATGTGAGTCTTGTAAGTTGTCCATTTGGTAGCTGTTGTATGTATAATATATAAGTTATAGGTCTCATATGCAATACCTTACATATAACTTTAATGCCTACAAATTTCTCACTGCACAGTAACTTTTCAGACACCATGTGTATAGTTTATTCAAAATTTTATGAAATATGCTTCTCTGAAACACCACTCTTTCTATTTATAATTAAAGCATTCCACTCTTACTTTTGTAAATGCCTTTATTTTAGGACATTATATTATTCTAAAGATATATTTGATTATAATTGTTCTTAACACTAGGTTTATCTGTATAATTTTCCAATATTTAATTGCATCATATCACATCACTTGTTTACAACTGTACAGTTGTTTGATATTGTGCATTAAACAAGTTGATCTAATTGAAGAAAGTGAAAGCTTTAGTGAAAATATATAAGTTAGGTGCTATGTAATTTTTCTATCTATTATTAAAGAAATTTGTAATAATATATTGCAGAGAGTTATTAAGTTGAATATATTAGTAGTTGCACATATCATATTACTTGTATAAATGCATTTAAATGATGTGGCTGTTATAAAAGAAAATGTAGATCTATTTACATTGTATATTTATGTAAAACAAGTTTGTTTAAAATGCTGTAAAATATGTAAAAAAACGACAAAAAATTGTTTTTAATGGAATAGAATTAAAAACAATCTGGTAATATCTCCATTACTTCAGTAACAAATTGTGAATAAAAGTTTTAGTACAGATATTGAGTTTCACACTTCTTAATCATATATGTCAAATGCTTTTTCCTTTCCTTAATAATCATTTTTAAAATGAATATTTATATCTGAAATTGTAATTTTTAATATAATGTGTGTAAAATTATATCATGAATATAATATATTATTGTTTAGTAAGAATATAGACATAACTATAATTGAAAATTCTTTAGAAGAATGTATATATATATATATTTTTTTTACAGTTAGTCAAAAAATAATTTGTTTGAACAGAATTGGTTAAAACACTTTTTCCAGTACAGCTGTCCCTTGATAATCCAATAGGTATGGGACCAAAGGGGTGTCGGATTACCAAAAGTGATTACATATATGGCATTGTTTTGCTAGCAGTAGCCTACAATATTCCCTACTTTAACTATTCAAACAGAACTGCTCATGAAAAACACACAAAATGTGTGTCATCGTGTAAGAATTGGGTGGGGAGATTCACGTCGCGACATGCTTCTATGCAAGCAGACACGTAACGGGGACGGGTACCTTGACGGGAAGTGTGTTGGACTACTGAGCATGTCGGATTACAAAACGTCAGACTATCAAGGGACAGCTGTATAATATTTTCAAGAAAATTGATATTTTTAGTTGATTAATCAAACATTTGTTTATCTTCTCTTTTTATTTTAAGATCAGTCCTAAATAATAAACCTGTTAGTCATCAGTATGAATAGTTAAGCAGTATTTAAACCTTTTTATTCCATTCTCCTAAAAATATACTTCATATATTTTGTCTTTCTTCAGTTCATAAGCTTTCAGTGCTCATTTCCATTTTTCCAATTGTGTTTTCAATGGGTCCATATAGCAGATTAATAACATCTGTTTAGATATCACTATGGCACTTAGCTACTTCCCTCATTAATTCATCCTAGATAATTGTGAATAAGGTTGTGCTTAAGGCAGATGTTTACTTGCACAAAACTCGTGGAACTCTTCACAGACACTTTGAACAAAGATTAAAACTTTTTCATATATGTCTTGGATCAATGCTTTGTATTTTTCAAAATATGTAGCAATGATCTTCCTGACATGAATTCTAATTATGCTAAAGACTCACTGTGTGCTCTCTATATTCAATCCATTATTCTTTTGATGTCTTTATTTTCTAAATTATCACATGTTAAGATGACTATGCAGAAGAGACCAAATAAGGAATGAGAAGACATTTCTGATATGATTAAAATCTGCAAGATTTTGGAACATCAATAGCAAAATAGTTTGAGCACTTCCGGGGACATCTAAATAATAATTTGTTGCATAAGATAAAGTAAGGATAGTAGAAAGGAGTAATCAGATGGACCAAAGGAAAGGTAGAAGGAAGTTTTGAAAAATATGGAAGCATTCTGAGTGACTGAAACAATGGCACAATATAAAAAAGTTTAGAGAATCAGTATTGAGAAGACTAACTACTATTAAGTTCTTGATTTTCACGAAAGAAAAAATTTAAGTTTCTTTTAAACTTTCTCTTAATTTCACTGTATATATACATAAATATAGTATTTTTGAGAAATGTTATTTACAGGTTTTGTTATATTCTATTCTATTGTTAAATTTTTAAAGTTTTGCTTGCAAACTTACAATAAATATTAAAATTACACAACTGAATATGGTGTACAATAAATTACATTGTTATTGGTTTATTTATATGGCATAAACAAAAGAGCTAGGGTTTAGTGCACATACTCAAGGCATGAAATTTTGTTTGCTTAACTTATTCATTAAAAGTTGTATACAGGTATATTACATCAATTGGCAATTTTTAAATAATATGTAGTTTACATTTTTTTTCTTCTTTTACAAAACAAAAGGAAGAAAAGCTGAAGCCAGAAATTACTAAGAAATTATAGAACTATTTCCATGAAAATAATTAACTTACTTTAGCACTAGAATTGTTAATAAATGTAATAATTATAAATTTTTGCTTAATTAGAGAGATCTAGAAAACATCTGGAATGGAGTGGTATTTAAAACTGTAGTTACTAGTAATTATGCAGGTGACATTACCAATTACACTATCTAGACTTTTCAAGCAGGATTCATTTTATTCATTCTGTTGCCTGTGTTTGTTTCTACAAAATTCTCTGAATTTCTTAATGCCTTTCTTGAATGTAAAGAAGTGCCATCATCAATCTACCAATATTTGTTGTTCTGTCTCAGAGTACTGTTTAGTGTTGCCACCTTTTGAAAATCGCTGACATGGACGGCAGGTCAGGTTTGTTCGAACAGAAGTTCCTGACGCATACACAATGTCATTTTACAATGTAAAAAATAACGTGCATGCTGATTCTAAATCAGTTACAGTTAGGGACTTGCATAGGAGTAACATAAGTAACCTAAAGTAAGAAAGAATGGGTACAGATAACTTAGCTCTATTTGAGACGTGTACGATCGTACAGACAATAAAAAAAAAAAAGGTCAACGGGTTGTGTGCCATACGTTGGTGTAAACAGACTAACATGGCAGAATTGCAGATGAGTTTCAGTGAGTGTGAGTTCTTTTGCTGTTAAAATAGTGTAAATTTGTAAAAATATTTGCAAGAACTTTGTTTCATCGTAATTTCACAATTTCTACAAAATTTCCAGACAAAATTAATAGTTCACTCGGACTGTCCGGGTGAAAGCCGGACGGGTGGTAACACTAGTTCTGTTATAATGGGACAGTGAAAACATCATTTGACAAGTTTCAGTATGAAAATGAAAATAACCATGATATTTTTAATTGATATCTATGAGAAGCATACAATTTTTTATATTCTCTACTTAATAGAAGTTTTGGAGAATGGGAAGAGTAAGAAATTTTTATCTGCTCTCTGCAGAAAGCAGTGTTTGCTTTATGAAATAAAAATGCATCAATAGTTCTATACAGCTATAATATCTGTTATGCAGAGATCAGGTGTATTGTCTGATAAACCAAGTTTTATTGTGTTTATATAGCATCGAGCCATGTGAAGTTAAAAATCAAGTCACAGATTTAAAAATTTGAGTATATTGTGTATTTAAGGCAACCAAAACATATTTATTTCGGTTGCTTTAAATAAACAGCAAACTCTTAAGTTTTGATCTGTTTGTGGCACTGAATTGAATGGAGCCATAGATTTATTTAAGTTGATTGTATTTAATGTTATAAATGTTCAAGATATGAAGATATTTAAACAACATACATCTAGAGAAGTTGGATATATACAAGTATAAGGCTTGTAAAAAAAATAGGACCATAAACTAAAAGGATAGTAACACACACCTGCAAGTCTGGAGATCTCTGTGAGGTCCAGTAATTTCCATACACTGACAACATAATGTGCTGTTTCTTCCCTTTAAACTTCAACATTTGAATTTCTCCTGTTTTTATTTATTTTTTTGAATGCTACTTATTTAACCTGATGATGGTAACCTAAAGCTATCAAAAACATTTGTTTTTCTTAGTAAATTTTCGATTTTATGCTGGAGTATTAATTATTTTTTATTCTTCTATGATATGAAGATAAGATAAAAAATTGTTATTCAGAATAGTAAATTTAACTCTTATTTAAAAATATTTTTAATGTCTATTGTCTTTTAAAAAGTAAGAGTTTTAGAAAACTATTGAAAGTTAAATAAATTTCATATACTTGTTAAAACTTTTCTATAGAATTCTTATCTACCTAATTATAAGATGATGGATAACTAGATAAGAATTATAATTGTTAGTTCCAAATTTGGCATCGAAAATAAAATGTTGACTTAAAAGGTTTGTTATCTGTCTTAAAATCTACAAATACTATTTTTAATAGTTTTTGGCAATTTTATTTCATATTTCCAGTTTCTATAAAATAGGGATTTCCTACAGCATCAATATTCAATGTTTGATTTTTTTGTGATGAAAATTTATTAGAATAAATACAGTAGTTGATGGCTTTGGAAAGTCAGCTTTTTTTATAGGGTGTGAATAGTACTATAAAATATATGCAGCTTTCAGAGGTACAGATAATAGTATATTTTTGAAATGGAATCATTTTTTGACAGATGTCATTATTTCAATATAGAACAGGTTTACAGTTTTGTTTACCAATGAAGGATCCACGAGATGATACAAAATTTCTGAAAAATTCAGTTTAATATATAATCAACTACATTTTAGAAAAAGTCTATTAAATTATGTAAACTTCCATTTTGCAGTTTTCTTACACAAAATCATTCCAACATTAGCAAAAAAGTATGAATAATTTTCTAAAAGTATTGAAATATTTATACAATAAATATAGGAAGGATATCCTTATAATACAACAAAGTCTATAAGGCTATTTTTCCAAATATAAGATAAAATAAACATTTTATATTTCATCACTGCTTTTGCAAGGAGAAACTTTGTTTTCTTCTTAAAATGGCAAAATTATCCTGTCATCCAGATTGTTTTGCATATTAAGAAAAGAACCGCATTTATTCCATACTAGCTGTAAGGACCCGCTTCGCTGGGTTTTTATTTGTGGGCAAAAAGTAACGATAGTGAAGATTAAGATAATTACATTATAGCCAATCTTACCCGTTTTCACAGAATGCAAGAATTAGGTCCCCCGTTTCTGATTAGAGATCTGATCCCGATTCTATTTCTGAATTCTTGACTGAATGTCTCCTGTTCAAACGAACAGGAGACATTCAGTCAAGTCAAACGAACTATTTTCAACGTTTCTGGAACGTTTACAATCGTTCTATAATCGAACCAATATTCGAATTTTATGTTCAAATTTAATTCGAACAAAAGATTCGAAATAGAAAACCACTTTCAGCCTCATATCTCCCGCACCCTTATAGCTATCCAGACGCAACCACCCCTATGCACGAATGGAGACTTGGGGCTACCACCACATAAACACCATTCACGTGCGATGTGTAGTTTTGGCGGAAAAGTGAAATATAGGGACATACATGTTCTTTTTTATATATAGATATAGATTACTGGATTTATTCTTTACACAAATTGTCAGAGCTTTTCTTTAATATTTGTGAAAAAAATAAATTCAAATTTATCTGTTATTTTGGCAAAACGTATTCATTGACAAAAAAGTTACACATCCAAATAGAATTGTTGATTACTGCAAAACTCAATATACAGCTATGTCTTAGATAATTTATATACCTGTCTGTCTGCATGTTATTGAATATCTTCAAATCACTACCCCAGTTAATTTAAAGGGCAAGAGGTAGTGATAAATTTAAGGCATTTAAATTTGTCACTACCCCAGTGTTCAATCAAAAGGCTTGTAGAGGCTCACTGTGTTCAGAATCTTCAGTATAGCTTCTGTTTGGAGGTCTTCAAACACCAGTCATATCTATATAATCTGCCATAGTATATATATTTATAGTTTGACTTTACACTTTTTCTGCTTATTTCTAACTCTTATCTATACTAATATTATAAAGAGGAAAGTTTGTATGCAGCAGGTAATCTCCGAAACTACTCATTCGATTTCAAAAATTCTTTCACCAATATTTAGAATGGAACTTCAGGGTGGACATAGGCTGTATATTATTCTGTTAAACATTCATATAAATTAAATGGCATCGATGGTTAAGGCTTTTATATCCAACAGATGGCGCTGCGAGTACGACGCCCTAAGTTTGCTTCTCTGTGAAAATGAACTAAAGCAGATCATCTATCTATTTATATAAATAAAAATGTAATGTTCGTTTGTTCCTACCGATTCCTTTGAAATTTTGACAACGCTGCAGTCAAAATTTCAAAGGAATCGCATGTTTTTGTATAATATACATGTCGAAATGCTACCCCACTGAAGGGAGATGGTTAGGATTAAAGCTTACGGTAAAGAACTCTGCTTCTATTTATACTACGTATTTTAGATGCGGTTTTTGCGTTTTAATAGGGTACGTCAACAGAATGTACACTAAGAAGAAATTTTTCGATATTCCCCCGCGGGGGAGAGAGACAGGATTAAAAAAAAACTTTCCAAAGCTTCATGGCAATCGTACTACGCCACAAACCTTCGCTGGAGTATGTTAAACAACTTCCCAAAGTTTCACGGCAATCGGATAAACAGTGTGGTAATGCATGAAGGACACACATACACACACATACACAGACACACATACATTCATTTTTATATATATAGATTAAAAATACATTTAAAGAAAGTGTATGGTTTTTACTGGCTTATCGAACAAACGAATACGAATGGATCCTAACGCGCAATTAACTGATTGCCCCTGTAAGTCGGCTTCTTACAGAAACAGCTCCCTTATCATCAAATGTCACGGCACGCCACTGATGCGCAAATAACAACCACCCAACCATCGCAGTTTCAGAATGAAAATTCTTACGACGTTACTGATGAGAATTACCATAGTTTGCGAAAAGTGACGGAATTGACATACTTTTCTATAAAGATTATAATGAATATCATCCATAACAGCAGACCAGGAAAGAAACTTAGATACTATAATTAATCAATGGGAACAAAACAATAGAGACAACAGTAACATCACTCTTTGTGAATTTGTGAGATTTGCTTTTTAACCCGAATTCGAAACTCTACTAATTTTAAAATATTAATAGAAATGCTACAAGTCGTAACTAGATGGAGCAACGATAAGAATCGACAAAATGTGATTTCAGGAAGAAATTCGAAACTATTTATCGACGAAACAATACATTTTTAAGAAATTCACGCGAGAAACATATTTCGAAGAGAATTTTGTACAAAAAGTTAAAGTTCGAGAAGCGCGTTTATAAATAAATGGTTTTTGGTATTAAAACACCAGCGATTGGTACGTAGCTTTGGAGAATAAGAGGGTAAAGTGGAAGTGGGAAGTCATACTTAGGTACGTAGCTTTGGAGAATAAGAGGGTAAAGTGGAAGTGGGAAGTCATACTTAGGTACGTAGCTTTGGAGAATAAGAGGGTAAAGTGGAAGTGGGAAGTCATACTTACCTGGCGCTGAGAGTTGTCGTGGTCCTGGTGGCGACGCCTCCAGGGCGAGGCCTTATCATTGCACTGGGATGGGGTTGACCCCTGCCACTACTCCAAACTGGGGCAGATGGAGCGTGTAATTTTTGGTAGCTGGGGACTGCGTACGCGCTCTCCCCTTCGTTACTAAACAAAGAATAGAAAATTGTTTTAGTGTTTAAGAAATTTTTGTTATTTTTTTAAGAGCATAGTTTGTATGCAAGCTTGCTTTTGGTTTATTTCCATGTTTAATAAACGTTTTATTATTCCCATTCAACTTTACAACTGGACATTTACATGAAATAAAACCATTTATTTATAAACGCGCTTCTCTAACTTTAACTTTTTGTACAAATTTCTCTTCGAAATATGTTTCTCGCGTGAATTTCTTAAAAATGTATCGTTTCGTCGATAAATAGTTTCGAATTTCTTCCTGAAATCACATTTCGTCGATTCGTATCGTTGCTCCATCTAGTTACGACTTGTAGCATTTCTATTAATATTTTAAAATTAGCAAACTGAGTTTCGAATTCGGGTTAAAAAGCAAATCCCACAAATTACAAAGAGTGATGTTATTGTTGTCTCTATTGTTTTGTTCACATTGATTAATTATAGTATCTAAGTTTCTTTCCTGGTCTGTTGTTATGGTTATGGATGATATTCATTATAATCTTTATAGAAAAGTATGTCAATTCCGTCACTTTTCGCAAACTATGGTAATTCTCATCAGTAACGGCGTAAGGATTTTCATTCTGAAACTGCGGTGGTTGGGTGGTTGTTATTTGCGCATCAGTGGCGTGCCGTGACATTTGATTATAAGGGAGCTGTTTCTGTAAGAAGCCGACTTACAGGGGCAATCAGTTAATTGCCCGTTAGGATCCATTCGTATTCGTTTGTTCGATAAGCCAGTAAAAACCATACACTTCTTTAAATGTATTTTTAATAGATAAATAAACAAGTTCAATATAATTACCTCTGTTATTAGTTCAATAGATTCCCTATGCCTTTTAAATGTCAATTCTTGCTTTGAGAAAAAACATATAACATCTATTAATTTAGATATAATATATCTATTAGCCGTAATTATCTTGTTATAATTTTCAATATTTATTTTATATTGTTTACTAATGTTAAATTCTATTCTGATTTGATTTCCAATTTGCTTCAATTTTACGAAAGAATCGATGTGACATTTACGATTTTCGTGTCTTTTGCCAGCTTTACTCAAATTATTTAAATCTTCAAAGCCATTCTTATTCCACACACTAATTTTATTTGAAAATAGTAGGCAAGGTCAACAAAACAATTTTTGCATTTCTATGCATCCACAAAGCCATTTTATGTCTTCATAAATTTTATCGTGAAAATGTCGAACATAGTTTTTTGTCGACGTATATATATATAATTTAGGCATTGGCCTTTCTCTTTTAATAATGTTTTCTTTTTCATTATACAGTCTTGAGCCAAAACTTTTTTGAAATAAATTTTCAATATCGCAATTACATTCTAAGTTGCTAGCCACGATATAAGGGCTAAAATTAAAAATAAAATTATAAAAACTTACTTGTTAAAATAAGATGTGTGATGATATACAATTATACATACCTGGTTGTATGAATATCGTTTTGTGAAGAAACGTACATAAAAATAACATAAAATGTTCTTTACTTTTTAAACATTAAAACAATTCGTTTAGTTAAAATTGCTCTCTACCAGTGGCTCATGGATGGAATCAGAGACGGTCCTGTTAGGTGTGCAGTGCGTGCATGCATACCAAATCCCGAGGGTGCCGCTACTGGTCAATGTCAAATGCCTCTTTTGTCGCATCACTAGTATACCTCAAAGGAGCGACAGGGTTGTAAATTTTAAACGTTTCTCACCGTAGCTGTAAAAATGTAAATATGTTAAACTTAATAGATTGTCCGTTATTTGTTTTCTAACTAATTCGTTTTAGGACCAGGTGTCCACGGAAATTTCCAAAATTTACAACTTTTCGGTCACTCTCATTGAACTGGGAAAATTTCTGTCTTTATTATATTTAATATTACGAAGAAATCAGTCCCCACTGTACTTGGCTAGAAATTGGTTCGGTTAAGTTTTTAAGTAAAATTCCGGCTCTTTTAGCAGGGTTTTATGTCCCTAATTCCCTATTCTCTTAATTATTTAACTACTTCTTAAGTAGAAATAAGTCGAAACCAGTTACAGTCGACCCCCCTATAACGCGGGTTCATATAATGCGGATTCGTATATCGCGGCGAAAAAAGTGCGACCGTATTCGTATAAAGACGCTAAAAGAGACTCGTAAAATGCGGTAAAACGTCATTGCCGACTCGTGTCGCGACAGGATTGGTCGAATCTGGACCAATAGTTGACGAGCAACCGAACTACTTACACCTACAGAGAGTTTAGGTGGGTAAGTTGAGTTTACTATCATCTGTACAGTATATAAATTAGGTACTGTAAGTCTAATACAGTACTGTAATTTTATACATTTGTTGTGAAAAAAAAACATTTCTTATTCAACGGCCATAAAAATTATTTCTATTAATGATGTCTCGAAAGTTCAACGAATTTTTCGCAGAAAAATAACTTATTAGAAAACGTGCCCGCCGTTTGGTGCGCTGCTCCGCGACGAAAACAAGCTTAAGCAATGGCGTCGTCCAACGGTGAGTTCGACGATGCCATTGCACACTCGGTAAGTAATCCTACAATTTTTTGTTTATAGCATAGTTTATGCGGATTATTCCCAAAAAATTATACGTGTTTTGGAATTGTTGAGTCAAATTAGTCTAGAATCGATTAATTTTATGGAAGAAAATCTTTCAAATAGCCGTAGTCAGTAAACTGCACACGTGCCGGGCTGTGATTGGCTCATGTATTTAAGGATTCTTACAACGTGAAATTCTTATAAAGTGGAATGTATCTATTGCGTTATAGGGGGAAAAAAGTGGAAAGACAAATTTTTATGACAACAGATAAATCGTTGTAAATTTAAGGAAAATAAATTCTAGAGTATTTTTTTTTACCTTGTGCATACAATTGAAGAATATTTTGGGTTGTATCAGGTATGTACCGGTACATCCACCACACATTTTATTTCACCAAGTAAGTTTTTATAGTTTTATTTTTAATTGAAGCCCTTATATCGTGGCTAGCGATTTATAATGTAATCATGATATTAAAATTACATTTAGAGAAGTCTACGATTTTTACTGGCTTATCGAACAAACGAATACGAATGGACCCTAGACCATCACTGACGCGCAATTAACTGATTGCCCCTGGATGTCGGCTTCTTACAGAAACACAACTTCCCTATCATCAAATGTCACGGCACGCCATTGCAAAACACCCTTACAGGTAGTGTGAGAAGTCTCCTAATCTCTGGGCCGCTGTGCAATCTGCACAGGTTGCACAGATGGTAGTTTCTCCATTGTGTTTTTGATATCTATGTTTTAAATGAGCGTATTAGTAATCATGAACATAAAAATATGCTAAGTTCATCAAACTGTATATTTTTGATTAAGGTGTTTTAGATAGTTTTTCCATATTCTGATGTATTTTCAATATACAGGTATAAAGGAATAATTTTGTCATTGTTTTTTTTTTTTTCACATTATATTCCGCTCACGAATACATTTTATCATTATTAAGCATTTAACTATCAAAATTTTAATTCTCTAATAGTTATTATTTAATCACACAACTGGAAATATATAATAATCCAATTTTATAAAAAAAATAAAGGAAATTATTCGCCGAACATTATTATACTGTATAAAGTTAAACAAAAGCTAGGTGTCGCGCTAATCGACTGATTTATTGAATTTCAAAATGGCGACCCTTCCGATAATAAATCGTTTAGCAAATTCGAGATACTTAATCTGTAAAAATAAAGTTATTTGTGCCAGTTTAACCACAACACCAATATGTAAAAATTGGAATAAGGATTGGAAACCGGGCCCGTTTCCTACAACAGAAAAAGAACGTCGAGCGGCGGCCGAGAAATATGGTTTGCTGTACGAAGACTATGAGCCATATCCAGATGATGGATTTGGAAAAGGAGATTATCCAAAGTTACCTACTGTTTCAGGTGACGCTAGGGATCCATACGAACCCTTTGATTTTCCTGCCTTGAAACGTAACTTCTGTGAACCTTTACATGCCGAGGCTGACCTGTTAACAGATACTCGTTTTAATGCTAATCAGAAATTTCTAATTCCAGTGTGGAAACAATGTTTATGTTTTCTTGGAGCTGTAGCTGGATTTACGTTGCTTTATTTTGTTTCAGAACCGTTTGAACTTAGTCCACCTGTTCTTCCGAAACAGTATCCGAAAAAGGATGTTGTGCATTATACTTTTGAAACAGCTAATTGATTTTTTAAACTTTTGGAATAATCACATGTAAAAAACAAATCAAGTATAGTAGATTATTTAATTTAGCATTACAAATGTAATTACTTTAAAGACATTACAGTATATGCAAAAACAATTATTGAATAAATCTGTCAAGAAAATTCTACTTTAATAATTAATGTGTTTGTTTATTTATTTGCAATCAAAATATTCAAAATTCTTACTTAAGATGATTATTTTTTTGTAGTTATTACATTTACTATGTATCAAGGTTTTCAATAATGTTATACAATTTAGCTTTGGACATGATAATTTATCAAAGATGGAAAATATTTAATGGAAAATTCAATACAAAATTTAACTATAAATTTATTTTTTGAAGAAATAGCCTGATTTTTTGTGTTTGGTATTTTTGAGAAATATTTTCAAAATTACCCTCACTTTTAATAAAATGATACCTTAAAACAGGAATAGGCAACCTGTGGCCCGCATTAATATTTTTTGCAGCTGGTGTTGCATAAAATATGAACAAATATATCAATTTCCCAGCTTAAGGAAGTAGGTGGCAAAAATTCAAATGTTATATTCTACAACTCGTGTATGTGAATAGTTTGTTTGCAATGAATTTAGTAAAAATTAAAACAAGAAACCAACTAACAGACACGTTGAAATTACAATAATTTAAAACTAGTAGTGACTAATATTTAATCAAATATTTCTGATATATTNTGGAAAATATTTAATGGAAAATTCAATACAAAATTTAACTATAAATTTATTTTGAAGAAATAGCCTGATTTTTTGTGTTTGGTATGTTTGAGAAATATTTTCAAAATTACCCTCATTTTTAATAAAATGATACCTTAAAACAGGAATGGGCAACCTGTGGCCTGCATTAATATTTTTTGCAGCCGGTGTCACATAAAATATGAACAAATATATCAATTTCCCAGCTTAAAGAAGTAGGTGGCAAAAATTCAAATGTTATATTCTACAACTTGTGTATGTGAATAGTTTTTCTGCAATGAATTTAGTAAAAATTAAAACAAGAAACCAACTAACAGACACGTTGAAATTACAGTAATTTAATTAAAACTACTGGTGACTAATATTTAATCAAATATTTCTGATATATTAAGTTTACATTGGTTTCAGAAGCTAAATTAGATATACCTATGCTGTTTTATAATTATATATGAATAAATAATTGTGATTAACCGGCATTTTTTTTCTCTTTTCTCTTGTATGCAACCCTTACATAGAAAGAGGTTGCCCATCCCTGCTTAGAATATGCTTAAACAAGTTTCTGTGTTTATATCTCAGCTTTTAATATTTATCAAAAAGCAGTTATAACCATGGAATAATTTACAGTATTATAAAATAAATTCTTTGGTTTACATAATTATGTTAAAATTAACAAATACTATGACTTTATCAAAATTACAAACTTAAATTACACAAACTTAAAATTTTAATAAACAAGTGTTTTGACAAATTATTAAATTATACTTTATCTAGACATGAAAGTTGAATATTAAAAATATTGCTTTTTTAATTAGAACTAAGTGCAGTGTCATAACTAACTTTTCATAGGTCACGCCCTGTGCAAGGTGTATTTTTGGGTCTATTAATTTCTTTGGGAGAGAAATATAATAAAACAATTATTTATGAATTAGTTTTGTATGTCAAGAAGTATACAAGATCATTCATATGTATTTATAAATAAAAATATTACAGTATATATAAATAGCTTGCTGTATGGTATATTACAAATGTAAATCCATCTCTGTAATCCAAAAAAACACACTTTGGTAGACATATCTCATAGCAATTTCTGGTTAGCAAATTATTTTTTATTTTCCATTGAACTACAAATATATTTTAGGTTGGTATAATGTACTCCAACTCCTCCTCAGTGATTTCCACTTTATGTAAATTACAAAAAATTCTTTTTTGTTTTCGAAATAGGGATTGGGAGGGCAAACCTTCCTCATCCTTAACAATCACTTAAATTTTTTTACACATAACAGACGTAGTAAAAAAATTGTAAACATAGTAAAAATTGACATATGTATGTAAAAGTTTTTTTGATACACAGGTAATATTATTAAAAATACATTTGTAACATTTGTAATATTTCTGTGTTGAATTCTGATACTGGTATATTTTTAATAATATTGTCTGTGTATCAAAAAAACTTTTACATACGTATGTCAATTTTTACTGTTTACAATTTTTTACTACGTCTGTTATATACCCATGTGTAAAAAAATTTAAATGATTGTTAAGGATGAGGAAGGTTTGCCCTCCCAATCCCTATTTTGAAAACAAAAAAGAATTTTTTGTAATTTACATAAAGTGGAAATCACTGAGGAGGGTTGGAGTACATTATACCAACCCGAAATATATTTGTAGTTCAATGGAAAATAAAAAATAATTTGCTAACCAGAAATTGCTGTGAGATACGTCACCAAAGTGTGTTTTTTTGGATTACAGAGACAGATTTACATTTGTGATATATTACAGTATGTTTGACAGTTTTTCGTCATTTCCACTTGAAGCCTCTTCATCCCATGCTTTGTTGTACCTGCTTAGNCAACATGGAATTCATATAAAACGGAATAATCAATGATCTTATACGGGGGTCGACTGTAGATAACATTTGCATTTGAGGCTATTTATATATTTCATGATAATATTACATTTGGATGATACTCTATAGCATTTCTAAACTAATGTCACACAAGAGAAATAACAGAATGCATAATATACTTGCATATGAATCTATGTTATTACTGTTGGAGATGATGCTAGGGAAATCAATTAAAATAATTTCTGATTGGACTTTTATTGCATTTTTATGATTACATATGGAATATGTAAAATAACAATTTGTGAAAATATAAATTCATAATAAAATATTATACTTAAGATGGAATGTTATAAGAAAATTAATCTGTGGTCATTTACATAGCAATTTAATGAAGGCACTTGCACTCAAATCTCCAATGTAAAAACAAATATTTTGATTAATATCGCTAATAAATTTTTCTAGATTTTAGAAGGAAATTTTTCTATAAACTTCATTTCTATAGTTTTCCTCAAAACACCAATTTTATTTCCTATTCTAAACAAGAATAATGTATGAAAATGTTTGATTCAATAATAATGGTTTCTATTTTTGATTTGAAATATGATAGGTTATGTATATAATAGAATCATTCTTTAAAAACACTACAAATGATAAATATTGTAGTGTTCTCAATGATAATGATAGTCTCAATCAAAGATTAAATCAAAATATTTAAATAATGAGTCAATTTAAAAATTTGTATTGAAATGCTATACCATACAAAAATTGCTAAGATTACTTTTTACTTTTATGAAAATTTAAAAATGCTCTAATCAAAAGAATTAAATAATATAAATTAATTGTTTAAATAAAATTAATATCAATATTTTGATATCATTTAAATAAAAAAAATATGACAATTATTATAGTTCTATTTGTATATGCAATTAGAGGTGAGGAAAATTTATTTTATTTTTTAATTATATGGGAAAACTACTTAGTAACTTGATAATTAAAAAGTTCAAGTTTCAAATTAATACAGCAGTATTAAATTTATAAAGTTTTGGTAAAAGTTTAAAATTATGACTACAGAATTTTAAAAAATATTTACATTATTTGGCAATTTAGAATATTATAAGTTTGTAAATTTTTAAGATAATTATATAGCTAAGAAAAATATTTGGTTATTCATCTGTAATTGTTCTAATATTTATTATATTTATATGCTTTAAATTATAGAAGTTTAATTTCATCTCTTCAAAAACATATAATTTTATTTTTTAATCAATTATTCACAGGAGAAAATTATTTTTCTTTTCACATTTTATAATTATACAATATTCAAATTTGTTTTACCACTGCGATNAGATGTAATGACTTATAAAATCTATTGTTGAAAATGACAAAGTTGTTAAAAATATATCTAGGTTTAACTAGTGGTAACCAGATGGAGTGCACCTGCCGCACCTGTTCGAAAACCAGCTTACAATTGGTCATTGCTACTATAAAATTCCATAAAGGTGGCACGAAACTACTACACATTTCCAAGAATTTTTTACACAAGTTATTTTATGTTCGACGAGTTCAATAGCAATTAAACCACAACCACGCATTGTTTGTTTTAAAAACATTGATAATATAAATCAAAAGGATAAAAGTCACACCTATTCGCTAATGTTCTTGATCTTTAAAATATATATTAAATTTTAAATGTATTATTAATTTAATTATAAAATTCTATTTAGTATTTTACGGGACGTAATTATTATTGCATTAAAATTATAATTTTTTTATGTATTTTTTGTTATAATTTGAATTTATTTTAAAAAGCACGCGCTTTATGAATCGAAGCAACGATTGCATTGTGTACGGTTCGACGTAATTATTAAGCGTAACTAATTATTACGATAAGAGTCACGCACAAAAACAAAACGGACGAAGGTCATAAAAATAAAATATTCTTCTCAAAATTGAATGAGTCATCAAGCATTTTCTATATCTCTGCTTTAACCTTGATGTATTTTGAGACTATTTAAACCTGACCATCTGTTATTGGTTACGCTTGTCATATGACTATTTTATTTCGGTATTTTATTGGTCGGTACCGATGCGTCAATGAACGTATCGATTGCTTATTGGGCTATTTTTCTGTGATGTCATTAGAAAGGGCATGTTCGTAAAACGAATGTTTTGGAGAAGGAAAACAAACAAAGATGGCGGAGGAAGTGTTCTCGGGTCCAAGCGTTAGTAATAATGACAATTCAAGCTCGTTATCTATAGTTAACCAGTCAGAAGCGATAGAACCCGCTAAAAAGAAATTAAGAACTGAAGAATCAACCGATCATAAAGATGAGAAATTAGAACATAGACTTGGGGGGATATTATGTTGCGCCGTATGTCTGGATCTACCAAGAACAGCCATTTATCAGGTTTGAATTTGAATCATCAAATCATTCCTATTCATAATTCTTCCTCGATTTTTAATAAGTAATTATATTCATCTAATTTTCTTTTTTCAGATTATTTTATTAAAATAATAAATTTTCCTAAATAAAGATTTTAATATATTTTTCCAGCTAAGAGAGGAAAAAAAATCGATATAAATAATCGATTACATATGAAACACGTTTCTTTACCATTCACAAAAGCATTTTTATGAATGGTAAAGAAATTCAAAAAATTATTGTAATTAAAATATTTTTTTCTTGTTTATATTTAAATTATAATTAGGAATAAAATTATATACATAAAATGCTGTTGTTGTTATTTAAATTTTACCTTCACTTATTCATTATAACATTGTTTTAGTTATTGCTTGCATTGCCTTAGTTTTTTTTTTAATTAAAAAAAATGAGTTTGTTCTTGCACGAAATTTTAATTAACGTTTAATATCTTTTAAATTAGTATATAAAAATTAAAAATTCTATCATTAACAAATATTTTAGATATAATATGTTGCATGTATTTGTAGCATTTTATATTCTAAAAATATTTCTCCTGTATAATTATTTCTCTTATGATTTTGAAAATTTAACAATATAATAATATATTTAATAACAAAGATAATTCATATTTTAATAATATTATTTGAAAATTATAATATTTATTAATATTCAGAACAATAATAGATTTATTTCAGCTACGGTAAGTATTATTTTAGGAGCCAAGACTGTAAAATGATGCCGATGTCAATGGTTTGCTATTTAAACAGTTAATTTTAAAAAAATTTTTCCATTAAATAATGGAAATAATTTAGAATGAGGATTTAAAAATTCAGTTAATTATTGTATTAGATTTTTCTTAATTAACAACTGTCTGGAAGAAAAGTGTTTTACTAAAAATGGATGATGTAGCTATTGTTAGGATCAGCTGTTCAGATGGAGTAGTTTGTCCTGGTTTGTGGTATGTGCCTCTAGGCAAATGTAGATGTCTGTGTACTGTGATTATATAGTACAACTACATTCTACAGTTACAATGTCCAAGAACTGTCTCATAAAAAAATTGTTATAGCAAAATGTACTTTTTCATCACTCTACAAAAGCTGTATAAGAATTCTGTTAATATAAAAAATTATTTTTAAGCTTCAAAAACCAGAGTAATGTAAAATAAGTTTTAGTCCAGTATTTGCCATAAATGAATATTTATTTTGTTCAATGAGAATCAAACTTGAATTTCGCCACAGTAAAAATTTTTCTGGAGTTCTACATTGTTCACTGAACTTTTCTATTATAATTTTTAATTGTACAATAAATTTAGAGTTGTTTTTATTCTCAGTAAGAAATGTACCAATATCACTGGCTTGTGCAAAATGTCTTTTTATATCTAGAAGTTAATATCCATATCTATGATGATATTTTAATTATTTCAATTTAGTTTTATTTATATTTATAAATATATATATCTATCTATTTATATGTAACATAGTGTAATCTTTTAAATATTAATAAAGTTTATTATTTTTAACTTCATATTTGCTGTTTGTATGTCATTTTGTCCATAAATTTATTTCATTATGAAATAAAGACAATTAAAATTTTCTATTAAATATTATATATTTAATATTTCACAAAGTCATAATTCTAAAAATTTTATTCTCAATACATTAATATAATTTGGTATATTAAATTATTTCCGAAATATGTTTTGAGATACATGTACAGTTCTTTATATGAAGCAAGTTTTTCTGAAAATTTGATTTTAGTATTTCATCTATTTAAGAAATTTTTTTTTTAATCATAATAATAATAATCATAATAATGACTAAATATTTTCTTTTTCCTTTTTTGTTTTCATGTAATAAAGTCATGAAAAATTATTTTATTGTTTCAATTTTAAAAACTTAATTTTATGTAAAATACATTACGGATACAACATTTTATTCAATACACACAATTCTCTTATTCGTTGGAATAAAACAATTTCAGTTTAATTTCTATAAAGAAAGTCACTACATATTTAAGAAGTTTATGAAAATATTATTTTTTAGAAAAAACATATGAGATAATTCAACATCTGTTTCTGCAGAAGAATTTTTAAGAATTTATAAAAATTTAAAAAGATACAATTAAAACATATAAAGATATTTATGTAGGTATAAATCTTTTAATTAGTTTTATATTTAACATATTAAAAATAAATTTTCTTTTCTAAGAACTAAATTATGAATCTACATGGGAAATTTTAAAAACATTTTATTATCAACGTTAAACTGGAAAAAATATCTTATTTAAAAGCATATAATGAAATCGAAAGTTGAATTTAATTTTTTTATTAATAAAAACAATAAAATTATTAAATTACAAATTAATATTTTCAAACAATTTTATAATTTGAGTCTGAATTATTGTATTCTAAATTGAAAATAAAAAATATAATTTTTATTTCTGCTGAAGTTTATGTAATCGAGGTTTATTATTATTATAATTTTGCCCTTAGAAATCTTTTAATTCTATAAATTTTTTATGAGTAGTATTAATTGTAGCATAGAATTTTGTTTTGTAACATAAATTATTATTGAAATACTAAAGTAAAGAAAAAGAACTTACTAAATAGACAAAGTCTTCCTAGTTAAAACTACTTTTAATATATTGCTATCAAATCTTATAACTTTCTACTAATAAAAATTCCTGAAATCTTATTTATCTTGTAAATCAGTTTACAAACTAAAACAATTTATAACCTAATTTTTTTATGTATCTGAATATTTTAAAAGAATCTTTTGATTCTGTATTGTGTTTCTACCTTTACAGGTGAAGAGAAATGATGCTTCATCCTACACCTGACTCCATCTTTTGCCCCTAATAAATGGAGGGTTTGGACATCTTTTTTGCTACTTGTGTATTAATCATGTATTTGAGACTTTGGGAGGAGTTCAGATTCTCTGTTATTTACTTATAAACAGAGAATCTGAAGTTATCTATTTATAATTTTTTTTTACATTTTCAGATAATAAGGTAGGTGGTTTTTATTCTCCATTGAAATGGTTATGATTTTATACATTAATCTCCCAAAGTTTCTACACATTCAAAGGTGACCTCTAGTTGGGGAATATTAGGTGTTATTGAATTATAGTTTTTTATATATTTATATATTTTTCTGTATCCCCAACAGAGCGTCTTATAACTGCTTCCATTTGCTGATATTTAACTATAGATGTAATTTGTCTTCCAGTGTACCAATGGTCATCTGATGTGTGCAGGATGCTTTACGCACCTGCTGGCAGATGCCCGTCTTCGAGATGAAACTGCCTCATGTCCAAATTGTCGAACAGTAATCAGCAAGGATTCATGTTCTCGTAATTTGGCAGTGGAAAAAGCAGTTTGTGAATTACCTGCTGAATGTCAGTTTTGTTCCAGGGAACTGCCAAGAGTACAACTTGAGCATCATGAATCTGAACTTTGTGATGAAAGGTATATAGTCAGGATGATGATAGATGATACATAAAAATATGGGAAGCAAAATATTTTGTAATTGTACAAACAAGTCAGAATATAAATTAAATTGAATGAAATATTTTGTATTCCTTTTTCTAGGATTTTTTAAAATTATTTTTAAAATGCTATTTGAAAATATTTGTTAAAATATGAATATCCTATCAGTAAATTATAGATGTGTATTTTTCCATTGGATCTGACTGTGATATATTATGCTGTGCATCTTTGCTCTTCATAAGAAAGACCATGAATAGTTTGTCATTTCATTGTTCTTTATAGTATTTTTGCAAAAAGTAGTTATTTCTAAACATCAATTCCCTGCTAACAAATTTTATGATAAAGACAAATGTTTAGTAATTAATATGTATTAACTTCTACCTGTAGAACAATGTGAACTATATGTTGTTGTGTTATGATGACTTTGTTGCTTTAATAAATTTTATATAGGCTATATTAATTAATTTATATATGATAATTGAGGTAGAGTTTTAACAAAGCTTCTTCTAAGTGACACTCAGAATTGCATTCTCAAAATTTGATGGGCTGATTTTGATAAAACTTTGCTGTTTTCCATTAGTTGTGATGAGGAATCCAAAAATATAATAGAAATGTGGTTTGTTTCATGACTTTGTTTCAAGATTCAGTGGGTCAAAGTGATAGTATCCATGCTCCCTGATGCAATTGAGTGCACCTAATGGAATTTAGGGCAAAAATTTAAAAAAAAAAAAAAAAAAAAGAATTGTGCATGCCTAATGGAAAATGGGCTTGCAAAATGACCTCACAAGAACAAAATAATTGATGTCAATTGTTTTGTTTTTGGATTGCCTCTCTGTATTGGCAAGTGCAAGAATTGTTTCTGCCTGGACAGTGCAAAGATTGCATCTCCGTAGCAGCAAGTGCAAGGATTGTTTCTTCCATATCCAGCATGTATATCATCTTTTCCTTTCTCAATTCTATCACAATACAATAATGTTGCACAATATCCTAGTTTTATACAAGTTGACAAAATTTGAGACTAGGCACCCTGAATGGTAGTACTGTGTTTATATACAATATAATATGCATCTATAAAAGTAAGGATTCTCTAGGGCAGGGGTGGCCAACACGTGGTGCATTGGACGATTACAAGTGGCGCTTTAGTCGTTTCTGAGCAACATTGCCAGATTCGACTTCATTGCATACACAGTTCGGTGCAATCGACCTGTTGACCTTTTTTTTTTTTTTTTTGCTTGCACGTTACACTATGCATTCGTTGTACATTACTCTATGCATTCGTTGTACATTACTCTATGCATTCGTTACACCACTGATGTCATATAGAACTACTTTATACGGGTAGTGTAACTACCCGTGTAAGATAGTTCTCTTATGAATTATAGATTATAAATAGTTTCTTCTTATAAATTGAAATACCTAGTTAATGGGTGGCCAAAATTTTTCTTTGCCCCGGGCTACTAACACTCATGGTACGCCTCTGCGCATCTGAACTCGTCTATCACAAAAATTGGCGCATGGTATGCAAAAGGTTGGCCACCCCTGCTCTAGGGTGTTCACTAACTATGGACATGACCAACACAGGATATTCAAGCCTTTGTTTTGATAACAAATCATTTTTGACATATTTTTGTCAAATTTCTATATTTATTTCTTATGAAAAACACCTCTCTCTATATTTTTATTTCTTATGAAAAACACCTCTCTCTGTGAGCAACAGACAAGTCTGGCTTGTAAATTACCATTGTTGTGCAGACTAGTGACCCTCCACACTTCACTTTGGTTTTTCTAATTTTGGATAGGGGTACTACTGTAGGGGTGGCCAGCTTTTGTGTACATAAGATCTACTTTTTATCTTAAAATGTGTTGCGATCAACTTGTTGTCGTAGGCATAGTCTAAGTGGCAAGAGGGAGGTGTGAAATACATACTATGTTTAGATAGGTAAGAAAAGCCACAAATTAATTTAAAACATGAAGAAAAGATATTTACACTTTAAACTGAAGAAAAATGAAAAGTCAACATTGTCACTTTCGGGGACCATCGCTTCACCCTTCCTCTCTCTATCATGTCCAGACCTACTCTCTGTGTCTCTTTTTTTGGTTTTATGCCCCTTTGTCTACATTTCTTATTCTCCTTTTACAACTGTACGCAAATGGATTGCACATGAACTGACAAAACCCGCATCTGAGGGAAGACGTGGAGGTCCAATATCAAATATCACTACAGTTGCATTTGCATGTTGTGTTCGGTTACAAGTGTAACACATTAAGTCAAGACATCACAAGCGATCAACCAAAATTGGCTTTGCGATTGACTTGTTAGCCACTCCTGGTCTACTGTATAAAAATTCATTAAAATTGTCATATCACAACAATGTAACAATTTATATTGTTCTTTCTAGATTGTGCTGTTTAGAATGAAAAGAATGAACAAATATGCTGATATGTTGGATTTATTCTATGGATTAAAAATAATTATTAAAACAAATAAGCTGTATCAAAGTTCAAAAAAATTTCTTGTATATAAGTAATTTTTTAATATTTTAATTAAACTTTTAAAAATTATTTTCAAATCAAGAAATTACTTTTTTCACTTATTATTGTATTAGAAAATAGGAATATTGTAATGGAAAATGTTAATAATAATGTGATTATAATGGAAACATTTTCTATTATAATCATATTATTTTCTCTTAACTTATAGATGAAAAGTTTGAATAAAGTAAAATTTGCAAGCATTTTATTATTATTATTGATTTTCTTTTTAATTGCTCAGATTAAATATTTGTCTCGTTTTTGGAAGAGGGTTTGCCATCACTACTCTAGGTAAATAAAATTTAATAAATAAATTAGAGTTCAACATTTGAAGATATTTTATGTTTATAAAACTGGTCTATTCAATGGTGATATCTGCAATCAAGAGTTGTTTTTGTTTAGTTAAAACATTCAAAATAATTAAAATAGTTATGGTCTTATGCATTCAAGTTCATGTGGAGAAGACACACAGTTTCCCCTATTCATTTTTTGATGGTGTCCAACTGCTTCTCTTTTGAGTATTTTAACCAAACAAAAAGACTGTTCTAATTTTGAAATACTACCATATTTTTCTAGTGTAAACCAGAAGGAAGATATAGTCTGGTGCAGTATTTTTGTCTACATCCTGTATAGTTCTTTATCTCATTAGTTCAAATTTTCCAAAATTCTGAATTATCTGAATTTTCATCTGACCAAATTGGATTTGGTCCTATTAAGTCTGGATGAATGAGTTTCTACTACCGTGTTTCCCCGAAAATAAAACATCCGCAGAAAATAAGACCTAGCACAGATTTTGCTGAATTGCGAAATATAAGACCTCCCTCTGAAAATAAGACCTAGCGAAGTTTCTTTTAGTGGTAACGGTCATCGACAGATGGTTGAAAGTGGCCGTTGGCTTTTTGAAAGTACAGCCACTGATTGGTCAGCAGACAATTACGCCACACGGCATAATTTGCATAAGACTATGGCTTGGGAATCACAGATTTGCATAACGTTACGGCTGGTGATGGCTAATTGGTCGGCCGGGAATCACGCCACATGACATTTGTATAGTGCTATGGTTCAGTAAGCACTAATTGGTCATCGAGTCCGATGTTGACGCTATAAAAAGGCGACAGTTTGACACACCGGATATACGTCACTCTAGTCTAAGTTCGACTTGGGAATTTTTTTGTCAATAATAAATGTGAATTCTTCTTCCTGGAAAAAATAAGACATTCCCTGGAAATAAGACCTAGTGCATTTTTCAGAGCAAAAATTAATATAAGACACTGTCTTATTTTCAGGGAAACACGGTATATAAGAAAATAAAATTCAGCTAAAATTAAACTACAAGCATATTGATAGAAATAGAAATATTTTCTGTAGAAACTTATATGTAAAGTATTTATATAGTTTTTGAGTCACATTTCATACTTTCCTTCCCTGTTGTGTAAGATTGTGTAATTTTAACAAATTCCATTTCCCTTTACATGTACAATAGTTCATAGATTCCATTACATTAAAGAAATGATTTTAAAAATATTTTCTGATAGTCTATTTACATGACTATTAAGTAGGCTCATAAAACTAAATTTGTATGCCTCTAATATCATTAAAAAAAGTTCATGTAAACAATGTCTCAATCCCTATCATGTGTAATAATTTTTTGATCTCCCCTCTCCTAAACTGTATTTGTAATTAATGGATGGTCCTTACAAACAAATTAATTATTTAGAACTTTTATATTTGAATATATAATATCAACTGACTTTCCTTTTAGATGTTTATAAATAAAGTAATATGAATTAAAATAATGATTGTAATTTGAAGTATTATGTATAGTGTATGAATATATCAACTGACTTTCCTTTTAGATGTTTATAAATAAAGTAATATGAATTAAAATAATGATTGTAATTTGAAGTATTATGTATAGTGTAATGTATAGTGTATGAATATTACAACAACTTCTACCTATATTTTTTAAGTGATATGTTTGAACTCATCACAACTATTCAAATATATTTAAAAATTTTTGTGTAGAGTTTATGAGCATGCTTCAGTAGCATACAATATTATATTGCTTTATGTATTATATTTTATTATGCAAAAGATACCCCCATGTAAACTATGTTTCAACACAATAATTTCTATTGAAAAAACAAGTATATACAGTAGAGCATTGATTATTCGACCCCCGATTAACCGTCACATCAGTTAACCGACTGTTCTAGTCGGCAAATTCAAATGTCCACTAGTGACATGGCGCTACAATATTTGGCTATGTCTTGGCTACTGTAATAGTATTTTTGTGTGTTTTAGCTGGCAACATGGCTCGACCATGAAAGGGAAGTATTTAAACAAGGCTTAATTTTCTAATTTTTAACGATACAATAGCGATGATTATTATTTTAAAAAAAATTTTTGTTAGGCTTAACATTGATGAAAATTCAACGCAAAGTAGGTTAATAGCAATATACTAATTACATGAGATATACTAATATACTATACTAATGATGTATTTTTTCATATTTTTCGGTTATCTGTTTTTTCAGTTATCTGACCAACCCCAGTCCCCAATTGATTTGGATAATTGATGCTCTACTGTATATATATTTTATTCAGTCAATCAATATAATAATAAAATTAATGAAGAAGATATTTCTTAAATTATGTAATCTTCATTTTATTTATGTATATTTTTATAGATTAACTAGTTGTCAGTTCAATCGAATTGGATGCCAGTGGCGAGGACCATATCATGAATCGCAATTACATGAACAGCTTTGTGTTCATCCTCAGAAAAGTGGACGAGATGTAATGGAAGCTTTGGCATTAGTAGATCAACAACTATTACAAGAGAAACAGCTGTACAGTCGGATATTTGAATTACTTTCATTTGAAAAAATTACATTCAATGGTAATTATTAATTTTTGTTGTACATACATTTAAATTATTATAATTTCATCTTAACTATCTAAACCAGCTTTTTGAGGAGAAAAACTATAGTTTTAAAAATAAAATTGTAGTTATTTGTTCAATAAAATTGTAAAATTTTATTGAATTTTTCTTTATTTTTAATTCACTTTATAGAAATCTGGTAAAAATTTTAACTCTATGCATTTCTAATATAGAGAAAATAAATAATTATTTATATACAATTTTTTTACAACATTTATTAATACATTTTTGGGTTTATTAAATATATATTTTTAAGTGATATTGGTGATTTTTGTGATTGTTTAATTCTCACCCTTTTTAACAATGATGTATTGATTTATGAACTATATTTATTTTATTTTATTCATAACAAATAAACCAGCAATGGGTTGCTCAGTTTTCTTGGCAACATTTAAAATTTTTATGGCACCATCCGGTATCATATTTTATTTTTAAAATTTTTATATTTTTAACTATTATAACGTGACAAAAAGCTTAATTTGAGGGTAGGGATGAGTTTTATAAAAAATTGTAAATGCTATTAATGAGTAAAATCATCATTAAGTCCAATCCTACTGGAGATGCACGCAATCCCCATTATCTCCACACCCCCTTGACCTAGTAATCAACAATATTTTGTCAGTTATTTGTCATTTTATATGTATATTTATAAATGAGCCAAATCAATTAACTCCATTAGTATATCTTTAGAATAATTGTTACTTTCACATTTTTCACGTAATCAAATTTATGTTACCCTAAAGAGTAGCACTAATGTAACATAATAACATTACATTGTATGGTACATGAAATACATTTTACAATATTTATTTAAATTTAATGTTTAAAAGAAATTTTAAAAAATAATGTGTATTAATAGTTTCTCTACTTTTTGTTCTGTGGAATTAATTGATTTGGCATTTGAATGACTCAAACATGAATTTGAGAAATAATTTAGTATAACATGAAAGTAAACATAGTCTAAAATTTAATATTATAGCATTTTAAATTTTTCTTTGTTTTTGTTTGATATAATGTTTTATATGTTTTTCATGGAAATGTACATAAATAATTTTAATGTATACATGGTAATATACAACATAAGTTACATATGCCTGTTAAAGAAAGAAAAATCAAGGACCGGAATGCATTCAGTTGCATTTGTGAGTTTTTAACAGTTAGGGTTTATACTTATTAAAATTATTTATTAACAAATTACAGTAGAGCATTGATTATCTGACTCAATTGGGGACTCAGGTTGGTCGGATAACTGAAAAAATTGGATAACCGAAAAGAATGAAAAAAAATACATTATTAGTATTGTGACCGTAGGGTCGGTGTCTCTTCGACACCACGTCAGGAGACCTGAATCTGACACCACCGAGTCTCTGGGGGACTCGGAAATCGCGACGTTACGTCTAAAGATTCGCGAGCGGTAGCGTGTGAGCGCTTGGATTCGGAGTAGAGGTGAGGAGAGAGACGAGGAAGTAACTTACTCGGACTCCATAGTAACAAATAAATAACAATTTTAATTAAATCGAACTAAATACTATACAGAGATACTAAATACTATCGGGCATATTATCGTTCTTAACTATACTAGGCCGTTGAGAGAGAGAG